TCACTATAGGTCTTAGGTTCATTTAGGTCCAGGGCCTCAAACACAGTAAAAGCAAAATCAGATATAGCACACACAGTAAAAGCATAGTTAGACAAAGTATCAGATTTTCTCTTAATGGTTCTTCTACCCCTGTCCCTAACAAGTTGGTAGTCATGCAAATCAACATTATCATTCTCAACAGAATCATCAAACACATTGGTTCCACTAGACAGAGAATCATTATGCACATGGTCATTTTGAGTATTGAACTCCACCTCACTAGAGGTAGCAGTATCACCAGAAGTATTAACATGCACATCAGAAGGGATGACAGGTACAAAAGGAGGAGTGTCATACATAAGAGAAGGAATAGTAGGCACGTACAGAAGGGACCTGAGGCTCCACCTCAACGGGTGTCCTCCAAGGTTCATGCTCAGGAACAGTTACAAGCAAGCAAGGAAAATCAAACTCATTGAAGATAACATCCCTACTTATAACCACCTTAAAACCAAACACACTTCTATCCCAGCCCTATATCCCTTTACCCCATCAAAATAACCCAAGAAAACATACTTTTTGGATCTAGGATCTAACTTATCAGTTTTCTGATGAACATAGGTTGCACACCCAAAGACCCTAAGTTTTGACAGGTCAAGAGGCCCATCAGTAAACTTAACTTCAGGGCATTGACCCCCTACGGGAACAAAGGGAGATCTATTTATCAGATAGGTGGCAGTGGTAACTGTTTCACCCCAAAACTTCTTAGGTAAACCTGAGGTAGACAACATACTTCTAACCTTGTCAAGAAGGGTTCTATTCATCCTTTCAGCCACCCCATTCTGTTGGGGGGTGTAGGGCACAATCTTATGTCTCCTAATGCCTGAAGTGGCACACAGTTGGTCAAGCTCATGGTTACGGAACTCTAGGCCATTATCAGTCCTAAGGGTCTTAACATTCTGTCCAGTTTGATTTTCTACAAGTAACTTCCAGGCCTTAAACTTCTCACAAACATCAGACTTATGTTGTAGAAGGTAGACCCACACTTTCCTAGAGAAATCATCAATTAAGGACAAGAAATACTGTTTTCCCCCATGTGTGGGAACACTGGCAGGACCCCAAACATCAGCATGCACATATTCAAGCACAGAGGAGCACTTTGTCATATTAGGATAAGAGGATAGAGGGAACTGGACTCTATGTTGTTTACCAAGCACACATCATTCACAGAAAGTCAAAGAGTACACAGAGTCTTTACCAAAGTAACCATGTTTATGCATGATCCCTAAACCTTTATTACTCATATGCCCTAATCTATTATGCCACAACAAGGTTTTATCAGTATGCACAACATTCACAGCATTCACATAGTCAATATAAGGTTTAGCATGACACACATAAAGGTCGTTCACCTTCTCAGCTTTAAACAACATCAGAGAATTTTTCAAAATTTTCATACATCCATTCCCCCACTTTCCCTCTAATCCACGACCCTCCAAGGCAGCAACAGATAACAAGTTGTGACACAAATCAGGGACATGCCTCACATTCTTAAGAGTGAACACAGAGCCACAAGAAAACTTGAGACATATATCACCTATACCCAGAACATTGCATCTCTTATTATCAGCCAAGGAAACATAACCCATATCACATTTCTCATATTTAGAAAAGAAATCCCTAAAAGGAGTCATATGATAGGTGCAACCAGAATCAATTAACCATTCATTCTCAGCCAAGGTATTACGAACAGAATTAACATGGTCACACACCATGAGAACCTCACCAAGGTCATCTCTCTCTATAGCTACACTAGCCTGCTCAGGTTTCTTGGGATAGAGACAGTCCTTTATAAAGTGTCATAGTTGTAGCACACACGTTTTCTAGACTTATTCCTCTTCTTATCATTTGGGTTACTATTTTTAGCTTGGGCATCCTGTTTCTGATTCTTAGACCTACTCTTAGATGTACCCCTCACAAACATAGCCTCACCAGAATCCTTGGATTGACTAGAAATACTCCTATTATGTTTAAGGTCAAGCTCTTTACTCTTAAGGCCATTCACAACAATATCAAGAGTGACATCATCTCTGCCATATTTAATAGCAGACTTAACATCATTATAAGAATCAGGAATAGCATTAAGCAACACAACAGCAGTATAATCATCAATATGCTTATCACGAGATTGTTTAATGTTCTGGATCAACTTATTAAAAATATCCAAGTTTTCATCAATGTCTTTGGTTAGGTCTAGCCTAAACCGAAAGAACTTTTCAAGCAAAAACAGTTTACCAGGCAGAGATGTGTCAGTATAAAGCTCATCTAACTTATCCCACAATTTTTTAGCAGAATCTAAAATACCAACCTTTCTAAGCACAGAGTCAGATAGGTTAAGATAAATAGTAGAGCAGGCAGTTTCATTCATTTCAGCTTTCTTAGCACTATCATCAGAATCCAAATAAAGTTCACTTACAGCTCTGAAAACCTTTTGATGGATTAAAACACATTTGATCTTTTGTTTCCAAATGTCAAAATCAGTTTTCCCATTAAAAGGTAACATACCATACATATTGGCAGACATAGGAGCAGACATCAGGGTGAACACAATAAGGATAATACAGAAGATCAGTAGCAGAAGACAAGATCAATGAAAAATAGCATACAAAGAGACAGAGAACCAAGGAGCTAGGGTTCACCAGTGTACCCGGCTGCGGGCTGACAGGCCACACATATCTGAAGGCCACTACAGTGACTGGCAGGGAACCTGTCAGTCCTAACCTCAGATGCCGAGTCACACAGGCAAAAAATCCCAGTTCACAAGGGTACCAAGTAAGCATAAAAGGACAGTAAATGAGAGATAAACACGCAAGGGAGACAGAAGCACATAATACAAGTTCAAAACCTCAGGCCCGCAAACACAAAACCAGTACGAATCATAGATCTTAACATGCAAAGACAGAAAACACACATGCAGACCAAACTTCACACACAAAGGTAAAGAGTACGCACCTGGGAGTAGTCAGTTACAATTGACAGCTAGACCAACTAGGTCAACAACAAAAGCGAAGCGGGGAAGGGGGTGAAGCGAGTAAAAAACACGAGCAAAACACACAATACCGGAGGCAGACGGCTACCTAGGGTGTTTATCGTTAATTTACCTGAGCGAGAACCCGTGGATGGGCTTCTCGACTTACCACTCGAGGGAGATCTGCGGCAGATGGTGGCGGAGGAGCTCTCGGGCTGTAGACGAGGATGACAGGAGGTCCGGCTCTGATACCACTGTCAGGTTTTCACCTCTCCAACTCAGACCACGCTCATACAGCACACAACCGAGCACCACCGGAAGGGACAATCACACTCAGGCCAGCCCAGCCATCTCAACGCACGCCAAAGGTCATAAAAGGGGAAGCACGGAGAGAATTAACACAAAGGGACCGGAAGAAGAAGAGACTGGGAGTCTCTCTCTCTATTCTCTCTAACCTCACTCTCTCTCTCTCTAACTGAAGACCTCCGCGTCAAGAGAAGACGAAGAGGGTCTTAAGAACCAGGGCTGCAGGGGAAACCCTAAAGGAGGGTTCCAGAAACAAGGCTAGCGGCAAAACAACATGAGCCAGGACAAGAGGCAAACAAACAGGCCCAACAAGAGTAAAGAAGGCTGCCATGGCCTATGCCCTATGGGCCAATACCTCCACACACATAACTTTTGATTTCGCGAACTAAATTCCGCAATAATCAAATAAGTATGATTGGAGTTACTATTCTGATTGAATTGACTAAAGTTATTGTAGATGACCATTTTAGCTATTTTTCATATATATTTTATTTATTTCATGAACAAAATATATTTTAAATACTCTATCCGTTCTTTAAGGTTGTTTTTACTTGGAATGTAATTCGTCCCAGACCAGACCAGACTAAAACAGACCAGGCTAGACCAGACCAGACTATATTTTATTATTATCATCATCATCATCGTCGTCGTCGTCATCATCATCATTATCATCATCATTATTATCATTGTTATTTTTATTAATATTAGTATTATTAGTATTATTACTATTATTACTATTATTATTTTTAATTATAAATGAATAAAATATAATTATTTATGGATTATAATATATATAAAAAAATAAAATCTTTATGAAAAAATATAAAAAATAAAATTTCAGACCACACCAGACCAGACCATATTTTATTATTATTATTATTATTATTATTATTATAATCATCATCATCGTCGTCATAAGCATCAGAATCAGCATCATCATCATCATTGTTATTGTTACTATTATTAGTATTATTAGTATTATTACTATTATTACTATTATTATTTTTAATTATAAATGAATAAAATATAATTATTTATGGATTATAATATATATATAAAATAAAATCTGTATGCAAAAAATATAAAAAATGAAATTTCAGACCAGACCAGACCATCAAATTACAATCCAAGTAAAAACATCCTAATAGTTGCAACATTGTGTTTCTCGCACTATTCGCACATCTTACTTTGACCATGATTTTCTACTAATAAATACTCCCTCCGTCCCATAAAACATTGCCATCTTTCCGTTTTGGGACGTTCCAAAAAACTTTACCACTTTCTTTTTTAATCAATTATTTTGTGATTTCTGTTATTTTTCTCTCCTCTGCACAAACCTCAACCACACAGATTTTACTTTATTATTTTCCGTGCCGGTCAACTTTGGCAAAGTTTTAAGGGACGGAGATAGTATAATCAAATTATTATGTATAAAATGTTATTAAATTTCTACTAATGTGAACTTTCAAAATATTACAGATTTATAATGTTTTCTAACACGTATATAATTACAATCAAATTTGTACGTACACAAATATGAAAAATCAAACTGTTGCAACTATTAAACCGTTAAAGAATAGAGGATAATATATTTATTTGATAAATTAGTAAAATCACCCTCTTCTACCAAAAGTTTATAAATTTCAATAGAATCAACATATTCAACCAATTTCACAATATTACAAATTGGGCTCATAGTCTCATGTGTCATAGCCGATAGCCCATAGGCCATAGCCCATAGATATTTTATCAACATATTCATTGCTTTTTTTCTCATGTGTTATATAGCCCATGGCCCATAGTTAGGGAAAAAAGAATGTGCACACACCTTATCTTGACACATACAGTGCATCAAGAAACATGTCTTTCCCCGGTAAGATTCAACAAAACGAAGGCTTGGTGAGCGCTTTTTTTTAGTTATTTAATTTAATAATGTACATTTCAGAAACATGCCCATCAGCATCACTAATACAGCATTCTTGTTTGCATATTGTGCCACATTTCTACTATATTTTTACCCACGAGTACACAGCCCAAAAATGAAGCAGGTCACTTAACATGCCAATACCCGCCTAAATTTGGATCGAAACCTTGTAGGGAGTAGCCACACAGAGTTGTGTATCATTCATTAGCTCACACTCAGAACAAGCTAAAGATCATTTGGTGTCTTCAAATCATCCAGAAATTGTTTAAGGTCTTCAAGTTTGGCATTACTCAGACCTACAAGTAAATGGCAATTAAGTAATGGACATTCTTAGACCTACTTAAAGAATTGCATATCAATGAGCCAATGAAAAATGAAGATAAACTTGCCAGAATGGTCACCATAACCATGATAATTCAGGCGAAGCTTATCATCATCGTCCAACTTGCGAATTTTCTCTGCTCTTTCGTGTTCAATCTCACTACACATTTGTGTTACCCTTTTCTCCAACGATGATCGGAGCTCCGATGCAGTTGTTACCAACTCTGAAAAACACGAATTTTTTATTAATAGTACAATTTTTTACTTCCTAGTTGGGTTCACAATCTGCTAAAGAGCTTATACAACCAATGACCATCAAGAGAATTTGAAAACTGACTTAATAAAAAATAGTAGTATGATTTATTCATTCGGCCAAAAATATGACTTCATTTAATCATAAAATTAGATTTAAGCTCCAATATATTACTCATTCCGATTAAGACGCTCATTTAGACAGTTTTTATTAAATACCCCAAGCTTTAATGGGGTGTGGGATAAGTATCCCAAACTTACATATGTAATATATATACCCTGAATTTTATATAAAAAGTTATTTTCGAATCATGATTGTATGTTTTTTACAAATACAAATTTATTGAAATAATTACATAATTTAAAATACTCTAAGCCTTGTTAGAATGCAGTTAACATTCTAAAATTTCATTTGTGAAATAAATAATACGGAGTATTATATCCGGTACAATTTAATTTCAATTGCATCCTCACCATTATTCCATCATATTCCTAAGACAAAAAAAGTGAAAGTTTGACTCCATTGCAAATGATGAAAATGTGGTAATAACTAATACATAAGATTAATCATTAACAAGAGGCAACACATAAATAACCTCAAGTTAGTTATTTTACTATTCTCAGATTATTTATTTAGCACAATAAGTACACAGTCCATTAGTCCATTACAGATGACCACTTAACTCGGATACACATCATAGTCCCCGACTTAATGAGAAAAGAAGTAAACAGCCCCTAAGGTCCCTTGCAGAATGAAGAACAGACAAACTAACTAAGATCTCTGATTTTTCCGCAATAAGTTATCCAATTTCAGAAAAGGGTTATGTTTCTAAGTGCATCTGAAGACAGGACCATTAGAGAAGTGTTTACCTGAAAACTTCTCATGCAAACCCAGTTCATTATAGAACTGTATCACTTCATTAAGAGAAGCTGCAGAGCATTTCCTCTTACTTGACTGCATTTCCAATTCCTGAAGTTCTTTATTGAGGTCAGTGGACTCTTCAACTACCTGATCAGATAAACAACATAAATAACATATGTAGCAATAATTATTACCAATTTACCATGTCTAAATAATACAATATATCATAAAGTTCCTTATCCTCTTAAGAAATCATGTAGTCAAGCACCTGAGCAAGTTTGCTTCTCAAGGAATCCAACTGTGCATCCAGTTCTGTGTCCTGATCTGAGGAAGTATCAAGCGATGGTTTATCCTATAGAGCAATGTCCAAGGAGACTTTCAGCCATTAAGTGGATGAACTATTTGGTAAATGGAAAGGTAGATTCGAACTCATAAAGTCAAACACATCCATGAAGGAAAATATTAAACTTTCATTTCAGTTAAACATACTGGTTTTGGCACATGAGTGAAGATATCAAATAAACCGCACAAAGGATAGTAAATGTAGAAAGTCCATATCTGGTGAAGATATCAAATAAACATAATCCATGGGCAAGCATTTTCAACCATGGCAAACTTTCATTTTTCTGGCAAAGCATGAGAACATTACAAAACATTAGACAAGACGACGGAGTAGAGAGCAGGAATGTTAACAATCACAAATCATTTTTTTACAGCAATCACAAATCAATTATTCATTCCACCACTTCTTATTCTTAATGACAATGTAGATTTAGCTAAATATGTCCTTTCGTCAGACAAACTAAAGCAACATCTGAAGAATTAAAAAAAATGAAACAAGCAAAAGATTTACAAGTAAGGTAATTCAAATATGCCATAGCGCAAAAGGATTGTAGAAAAATTCAGTTCAACCCAATTCTATTGTGATAACCTACGGCTTGAGGCAAAGAGAACCCTTGTGGAACAGTAAAGCACTGGCTCAGACAGTACTTCTGCCACATATACTGACGCTGGTCAAGCTTTGACTGAACCATGCTCCGTATATATTCTACACCCTACAAAACGGAATTATCAAGTATCAATTGCTCAAAGGAAGACAAGAAACATTTCAAAATGAAAAAAAACAACAAAGAACAGAATTCAGTATGTTATTACAGTATATGCCACAAACTCTTATGTGCTAACTGCGAATTGAAAATTGATATTGCAAACAACACATCCAGCGAACCTTTTTTAGAGGTTCAAATCGGTCTGTACCCTCGACTTTCAGAACTGTTGCTGTTTCCCTACATATGAAAACAACATTCTTCAATAGATACTACTCCGCACCATGTACAGAAGAAAATAGTACTGCATAGAGAGAGAGGAGAGATCGTACTGCAGAAAGAAGTCAAAAGCTTCATTTACAATGGTGTTCACGGAATCGGTAACTTCATTGACGAATAGCTGCGGGTTTAGGTTGTAGGAATCAAAGATTTTCTCGCCCTCGCTGCCTTGCATTTTCGCGTTTGTTTGGTGTGATAAGTTTAACACAAATTCGAATTTTGAATCTGAAGGTACGCACTTAGAGCACTCCCACCCTGAATCCCGTCACTTGAGGTTGCCTTTTGGCTTGTATTGGCTTGTGATAATATATTTCAGCGACTTCCGAGTTGGGTTTTCGTCTACTGGTTACAGTCGGCTTTGATGACTATAATGGTGCTTCTGTTGACCGCGTCTATGACTTCAGTACCGACAACAGCGTCAAAGCCAGCGACGGGTCTGCTGCTGATGAAGGGGAAGTCGGCAGACTGTGGGCTCTTGGGGACGGCGCCATCGCTAGACGGGTATAGGTTGGCTGGTGACGAGGAAGGCCCGACGATTCATGGATGCGGCAAAAATTTGTAGCATGTGTCACTCCGATTTGGATGAAAGCAAGGAGAACGGGTCCAAAAAATGGATGCAAGGCGGGTCCGGTAAATCTCAACAATTCTGGGTCACACCATCATTTATACCTTCTTTATCTGTCATTGGCACAACAAAAAAGTACAAATAAAGAAACTTTCGATAAAACTGCCAAATGAAAAAAAATTGGTTTGCTGATGTGTCAAGCTGTTTGCACGGAAACCAATGTCGTTGTATACAGACATTAGTTGTCTGTGTAGTTAAAAAAGTGTCGGTGTGAAAAACATTAATTGTCTGTGTAGAGAAAAAAGTGTTTGTACATATACAATTTTTGTCGGTGTACACAGACATTTGTTTCAGTGCAATCTAACTCTGACTTTTTTTAACATTTTTTGTCTGTGTACACATACATTTGTGTCTGTGTACATACATTTTTTCTCTATGGCGAAAGTTCATAGAATGTTACTAGTTTTTTGTTTCATCTTTCATTCCAAACAATATTTATCATTATTTAGCACCATACAAACAAAAATTCAGGTGCCTCTTATACTTCTGTGAGTTTCCGGCTCATTTTCCGGCGAAAATGGTGATGGAAGATGATGATGAAGATTATGAAGTGGAATAAAACGTAAAAAGGAGGGAGGGGAGGAGTGGGATGAGGAGGAGGATAGAAAAGAGCGGGGATGGAGGAAGGGAGGAAAAAGTGGGGGGGGGGGGGGGGGTGGAGTGAAATAAAAAGGGGTGTTATGTAGGATGTACCTAAAGAATAATTCGGTAAATCATGTCCAAGCAAACAGGGGAAATAGGTCAAAGGAAAGATGGATGAGTCGTGCCAAAATTGGGGAATTTTTATTGGGCAATTCTTTATGTACCCAAATTCTATATTGCATATGTGCATAGACAATTAGGAAGGTTTGACATAAATTTCTATCTCTTTTCAAATAAATTGCCTGTGTACACAAGCAATTAGGGGGTTTTTTAGTACACTTTATGTACAACTCATGTATACTAAGAGTTTTTCATTTTTATCAGCATACCCAATGTTGAAATTCATTTTAGCAAATCGTCCCTTTTTCTTTTTACATACAAGCATATACCATATGACGTCGTTTAGTTTAAAAGAGAGAATTTGAATACCACTCTCGAACCATCCAACTTCTTCGCTCAATCATTCGAACCATGACGTCGTTTAGTTTAAACAGGACAATGTTTGATCAGAAGGTCGAACTTCTTGAGCAAGGGTGTGAATGAAATGAAAAGAATGTTGTTTTTCTAAGGGTAGTTTTCTAATATCAAACATTTTACGGTAGTTTGATAATAATAAAACTTTTGAGGGCATTTTAAAAAATTGTTCACACTTCAAAGATGGTATACCTTAGAACGTTTTGAGGGCATCTATGGAAGAGAATAAAAGGTTTAATTTGTGAAGCGTACACCTATTAGTTAATCTTTTTGAGGGTACTTTCATATATATAAAAACTCTTTTGATGACATTTAAAAAAATTATCCAAAAATCGGCAACTACTTATATATTGTCAGATCAAGTTCGAGTTCAATTCAATTCTTATTTTTAGTTTCATTAACGCAAGTTCAAGCTTTTTTCTATCATTTTCTTTTGTTACGATTAGGTCTTGGGCATATGTTTGCTCTTACTCCCTCCGTCCCATAAAATTGTTCCCGCATTGACTTGGATCGGAATTTAAGAAAGTGAGAATAAAATAGAAATGTATGATTATGGTTGTGTAAGAAAAATGTAAGCGAATGTGAGCTACACAAAACTTTTCAAAAGAGGAAATGAGAACTATTTTTGGGGACGATCCAAAAATTATACCGGGAATTATTTTACGGGAAGGAAGGGTATTTATTTTTTATAGTAGCCTCACGGTTTTAGACTTTTAGACTTTTAGTTGATAACAAATGGACTTGGGTAATCAAATCATGATGTACTACATCACGATTTAATTAATGCTAGTTAATTTGCTTTGGTTCAAAAAAAAACAAATGGACTTCGAAACTTACAAAATACTCTTACCCCTAGAGTAGTTGGTGATCCGTTCAATCAATTTTTGATGGGAAAACTGTTAAATAGGTACTCGAACTTTCATAAAAAAGTTAATTAAATCTTTCAATAGGAGATTCTGTCCGGCCGTCGCGATTTGGAGCAGTTCCCGGTGAAATTTTTTGATGAAATTTTTTGAGCATCTTATTCACCAAGTCTAGTTTAGCCATACCAAATTTAAGCTAAAAATTCAATCGGGAACACTTCAAATTAATTCTTAAAGATAACTGCGCATTTTTGCGTTCTCGAATTAATTTGAATGCGCTCCCGATTAAATTTTTAGCTGAAATTTGATATGAGTAAACTAGACTTGATGAATAAGATGCTTAAAAAAATTCATCAAAAATTCCACCAGGAACCGCCCAAAATCGTGACGACCGGACAGAGTCTCCTATAGAAGGACTTAATTGATTTTTTTATGAAAGTTCGAGGACCTATTTGACATTTTTCCCATTTTTGATCGATCGTTTTCATGTGTAATTAGTGGGAAGAAATGCTGAGTGAGTTGATGTCCTATTCTTCTTGATCTCTTGACTCTTAGGGCATGTTTGGTTTGGGAATTTTGGAGGTACGGAGATGGAAGACTTGAGTTTTTATTTTACTAACTTATCTCAATTTGTTAGTTTTAGACTACAAATAACTATATTATAATTAATTAGACCATGTATTTTTATATATTATTTTATCTTCACTTTATTTCAATATTTCTAAATGTAAAAATGATTTTAAATTTATAATTTAAATTTATATGAGTCCTCTCCTTCTCTTTCCTCTGAAACCCCCAACCAAACTTGCCCTTAAAGTTTGTAACTGAACTGAATTAATAATATGATCAAATGATATAAAAACACAAAAAGAAGCTTGATAACAAATAACCACCTAAAATAAAGAAATAAACTTGATAGCTCTTGACAACAAATAACCACCTAAAAGTTGCCTGAGGAAATTTCTCCACAAAAAAAGTAAAGGGAGATTTTATTTAATAAACTAAAACTTTTCTCAATTCATATAATCATATGGAACTCCTTTATCCAAATATATTGCACATAAGACATGCATATTATATCGATTATCTCTTTATTTAAAATTACCTGTAATTTTTTTCAGGCCTTGATGCTCAATTAATTATGAAATTGTCATGCCGTCGGACTACTTTTCAGCCCGATAATACCAAGGCAGTACTTTTCATCAAAATTTTAACGTTTTAGTTGCTTCTGAATTTAAATATTTATTTGTTGAAAGAAATATTGTCTTGTCGGCCTCGACGAATTCCAAAGTTTTGCACTTTCCATCCAAATCATAAAGTTAGGGGACTAAAATCACATTTCACCAAAAACAGAATGGTTTTGCCTACTCATACAGTTTTACAGGAAACAAATGGGTGTAAGAGCCTGAATAGTTCTACACATCTACTTCGTGAGAAAATTATTGCATTAAAATTGAACAATATTAGAGGATAACTCGAGAATTCTGAAAATTTTATGTTTAAAAAATAGAATATGTACCATAGGGTGCCAATTTGCACCGGGTGCCTTTTATCAAATAGAATATGTAAAATACCATAGGGGTGCAAATGTAGAAGTTTTCATTATGGAAACTTTAACACGAAGCACATATAATAAACTCAGAAAGGACAAATATGAGAGCTCTTCAATATCCAGGAAGGCAGAGATACTAAATTTGGGGTCGATAAAATTTTACCAATAACTACTTCTAATATAATGACAAACTATCAAATTCCGGAATTATAGTTTACATGTCACTTGAGGAAAGTACAAGCAATAAACAGGAAAACAAAAGCTACCAGAGATGTTAGGAGTTCAAGTGTCCAGGTTGGTTTTAGCAGAAATGACGGAATTGCGGGAACCAATACGGAACCGAAAACCCATCCAAAAACAAGGGCCCCAAATCTGAAATAACAAGGAGGCTCTTAGACAATTCTATTTAAGTATTTATAATCAAGGGAAGTTTCAGAAATAACTTCAAAATGGAATTTCTAAGACTCAACAAAACTCACCCAATGATGGAAGCTCTAGCAATGCTCTTTGTCTTGTCATTGAGGAAGTATATGCAAGCTCCCAATGATAGTGCTACCTGCGTAAGGAACATCAACACAGACACTTCATAAAAGAGTTGTTGAAGTACAGTATTTGGTCACATAATAGGCACACACAGGACATGCTTAAAATGTGCCCCGAGTGCACTCAAGAGAAAGTTTAGCTACAGCACCGTTGCAAGTAATATTATCACGGAACAATATATAATACACTCCAGGCATTTAGTAGTGTTATCAATTGTTAGCTAATGAGTATCATGTTGCATTCTAAATCCACAAGTTTTTTGATAGGGGAAGCATATAAGTCAATAACACAATAGGAAACCCAGTTTTGAAGCACAAAATTGACAAGTCAAGGTGAAACAGCCATTGGATTAAGTGAAAAATCACAAACCTGGAAGGCAGGTCCAGCCTCGGCTGAGTTCATTACACTCCACACCGCCATAAACCCAAACAAGAATAATCTTCTTAAAATAATATCACCAGGCGGCATTTCGACAAAAGTGAGTAGATTCTTGACCCATGGTGGAGAATCTTCAACTTGCTTTTTCAGCCTCGTCTTCAAGTTAATCTTTGTCTTCTTTCTACTCTGGAAGCTTGTCATCAGTATTTTCTCAAAAGCAGCTTCTATGGCTTCCATACTTCTCTCATGGCCGGCATACTGATCCAGCAAAAAATTGCGAGAACTCCATACTTCTTCCTCAGAAGCATCACGACTTATACCAAGGCGCTTGTATGGATCCCAAATATTCACCCGGGGAAACTTCGAAGTGTTGCCTGCAGAAATTTTAACAAAAAAACTCAGCCCCTACAACAACAACAACTAACAACAACATTCAAGCCTTATTCCCAAAAAGCTCAGTCCCTAAATAAGTATATTAATGTTAAGAGTGCATATGAAATTTTCACTTTAATGCACAATTTGTGCATATATATATTCACAATTATATCTTCTTTAAAAATCAGCTAGAGGAGGTTAGTATAAATATGAAGTGGTATAAACATTAGTTAAATTCATATATCCTAGTATCATGATTTGCGTACAGCTAACAATTTACTCCTGATATTCTCGAATAACTATCCATTGATCAGTTTTACTATGGTTCATTGATATTCTCTGATACTCTCATTATTAGTGAACAAAATGCCTTAGTGGTCAGTTATTTTTGCAAAGAAAAGCCTTTAGTTAATGGACAGTTATTTTAGAACAGAGACAGTAACTTTTTATTTTCCCCTTTCCAGTTATCCAGTATTCCAGTAACAGCACAAAGCTATGAAAGAAATAAGGTAAGAAATGTTTATTAAAAAAACTGTTGCTCTAACAAAAGGAACGTGTCCAGTAGCACAAGCTCAAGCAGTGATTCTTCTTGCAGCGATTCAGATTCAAGTTCTCGTAGGAGTGATTCTGATGAGGAGGGTGATGTTGTACAGTTGCAATTTGTTGATAGAGAAGAGTCACCTGATGAGGTTGAGTATTGAGAAAAGAACTATGGAAAGTGAGGGAGGAAAAGAAGCAGTTGTATGCAAAGATAAAGCTGCAGTATTTGTAAAGATTGTGACCAGAAATAGAAACTACCGTTAGGGAATGTGTAACTGAGATGACTTGTAGTTAGCTAGCTATAAGGGAGTAGGGGATTGCAGAAGTTTGTGGTGGTGGTTGTGTGTTTGGGGGCTTGCAGAGTTCCTAGCAGGCGGAGAGAAATGTATCTAATTATTTTTGTTAGTTAATAGAAAGTCATGTTGCTTGGTAAAAAATAACAATACCGATTAGCTTCTTTATTTGAGTATTTGACCAGTGATGCTTGCAAATAAGAAAATATAACAATAGCGTAGCAAAATGAAAAATGCACTGTTCCCAAAAATCATGTGTCTTATACACTCAAGTAAATGTGTTCCAAGAGGCCTGTGTTTTGGTTAACAAACATAAAACCAATAGATACCTTGCACCCTCTACTTGAACCACGTTGTCATTTCAACTGAACAATCATCAGAAAGTAGACCTAAAAAGCATGCATTGTTGCACACAATCACAAACTCAAACATCCTATGTGATTTCAAACCATTATCTATTTCCTTATAGTTGTAATAATAAAATGCTGAACTAGTCAAATTAATATAGAACTTACCCAGGCACAATTTATTATAGAAAAAATAAGTGAGATATTATAATTCCAGGATGTGTAGAGGAATAAACACTTTTGAGAAGCAGATAGAAGGTTGATACCTCCAAACGCTGTATCCATTGCACACCTCGGGGCTATTACGCTCAATGCACTCGGCAGAGGCCTCTTGGAGAGATTCCATCGATGCGCGGAAGGACTCTTCGAGTTTCTTCTATTACATCTGCGAGTTAAGGAAAGTAAAACAGAAATCGTGTAACAACCAACTTATTGAAATAGTGAAATTGTACTGACTTACAGTTTCTGGCCAATGAACGAAGCGGAAAGCGTAGGCCTGGAGAGCAGTGTTGTCTCCATGAGAACTCCGCCCTGCGATTACAGACTTAAAAGGTAAAACCCTAGTTTTTTACTCAATTTGGCTCTACTATACATACACACATAAAGAAAGAGGAAATAGCATGCCTAATCTTCCACACGGCCTGGGAGTTGCAGGTACCGAAGAGATGGTGATTGCTTGTTGCTCAGAGTGTGCACCGCGCCCCCTTCTTCTTGACAAACAGACGGCCCGGTCCACAAAATGGCAACTTGCTCCTCGGACCGGCCAATCCCTTCCATTCGCTCTTCCGAATATTTAAAAAAGATTCACTTATACGTCGTACTTCGTATTCAATTAAAATGAAAAAAAAATCACAAAGGCTAAAGGTAACCCCAAATGTAACTCATTTCTACTCTCACCTCCTGATGTGTGGTCACACATTAGGGGTGAGGTAAAATGAGGTACATTTTGAGATCTCTCTAATAAAACTCGAGTTTTTTTTTTAAGGAAATAGCTTATATTTGTCACGCCTCGAACCCACCCGGACATGTCAACAACCCGCCGTATAGTACGAATAGTCAACCGCAGTCCAACACATTCATACTATACAAGGCGTCTGGAATATCATTCACACGTAGTACACCCATAAACAAACATAATGTAAAATATTCATTAAAGAAGCGGAAACAATATTACAAGTTTTCAGGCCACACTTGGCTAACTTAGGCATACAAGCCCTCAAATAATTATTCAGAAAAAATAATATCCATGAGCATTTATATAATTGTTTTCAAAACAGAAACGGAGGAAGCGTGAATCACATCTTCTCTCCTAGATATCCCCGAAGAAACGGGCTTCGGTAGCAAGCTTCAACTTCTACCTGAAACTGTGAGGTGGCCTCCCCGTGAAGGTGAGGTCAGTACTTTGAAGCATTTGAAAAGTACAATGACAACTACACTAAATATATTCAATGTTTCAATTTCTAAGACCCTCAATCTAGGGTTGATAGAGTATATAGACTCGGACCCCCGGGTCTCACGACTATTGGGCCCGGACAGCGGCCCACACACATCTTACGGATATCATTTGTATTATTGTACTGCTTATATGTCATTTGTATGTAACTATGTACTGGATTAGTCTTTTATGTAGTTGGACTACCGAGCCCATATTAGCGGCCCGGTCCATTATTTCTCTATTTATACTCCTCTTGGAGCCATTTGTAACCCTAGAACATAAGTCTCAATTTCACAACTCATAATTGATACACAATATCATTTCTACTATTCATCTTCCCCACATTATCTCAAATCTCTCCATTTTATTATAGTTTGGATACCCCTATAATCCATCAAGGATGATATTATATTATAGGTCATAACCCTCAGTTAGCCTATTTGAAAACATACTTACTTTATATAAAGTCAAGTAGACGGCCCGTGGGCCCATATTCGTTTAGAATTTACCATTTCCATTCCCCGTGCCCACAAGCCACGACAACCCCATAGGGTTTCATCAAGCCCCGATTGTATAGCGAGGGCTCGGTCCAACTACATTTCTATACAATTCCTAATCTCAATTCAACACGTCACGATTGCATGGCAAGGGCTCGGCCCAACTACGTTTCCATACAACCCACAATTTCATGGCAAGGGCGCTGTTGGTCCAAAATAGGACGCTCGTAGGCTTTTAGGAAAGCTACGTACGACACTCAAGTAGGAGTTAGGAAATAAAGAACGAGAATGGAAAGTAGCTAGGAGATTTAGTTGCCAAGAATAGCATATAGGAATTGCCCTAATCTGAATTACAACCCGCCTTTTATAGGCGTATACGAATCGTAACCGCTACCGATAATAATGACTAACTAATTACAACCTTAATACAGAATTAAATACATAATTAATAGCGCATTAATTGCTTGACCATTACTCTTCTGGGCTGGGAGGTCGGCCGGACTGGCAGGCTCCCCACTGGGCTGGCAGGCATGCTCCAGGTTGTGGACTTGGATCCACGTGTCCAAGTTCAGGGCTTGGGATGATTAGGCTCTGGGCCTAGTCTCATAACTCCATCAGGCGCGGCCCAACTACGTTCCCATGAATATCACAAATAAATGGCAAGGGTTCGGCCCAACTACGTTTTCATGCATATCACAACACATGGCAAGGGCTCGGCCCAACTACGTTTCCATGCGAATCACAATTACACGGCAAGGGCTTGGACCAACTACATTTCCATGTAATCCTAGAGTCAGGCTCTAATTCATTATCATTGTCCAATTCTCAAGCAAATCCTATGCCTAGAATCCGGTCACTTGGAGTAGCCTTTAAGGCCTACTCCTAACATATTTTAGAGTTCACATAATTCGACCTTAACGTATCTCTTAAGATTACTTAAGGCATCACTATTCACAATCCAATCTCTTAGGATTAATTCCATCATTGTTCATATCAATCTCCCGACTAGTATTTTTATACTAGTCGGATAATCTTAGAACAACCAAGTTCATTATGTATAGTCCAATGATTCATTTTCAATGACTTTCCAATCCAAATATAATTTAAATTCAACATCAAAAATATCCCTTTTATCCATTCATGAATTCTTTACATGAAGTAAAAGTATATTTTATCACAATACTTGATAGTAAATTCCTACTATTATGTCATCATATTCATAACACATAATCATACACAATTTCTCTAAATTTGTATAACATGCTTCATTTACTCACATGCAATAGTATTTTCATTCAGGCATTATTGATCATTAATAATCCATGAAAATAACATTTAACACTTTAGGTAATCTTATGAAATTAACCCAACAATTATAAGCAATATAGCCAGCCATCCTCACCTCGAATGAGCTTTAAGAAGTTCTACCCTTCTCGGTTGAACTCCGGTGAAACTCCGGCAAAACTCCAGCGACAATTAGGAACACCTTAGCGAAGCTCCTAACAAGTTTTTATCATCATAAAACTCATTTCAACACAAATAACCTCTAAAAGGTTATTTTCCGGCGAACCGTTCGTTTTGGCTTCTAAGTCCGTTCTTGGACTTAGAACTACCTTCCCATACCTTGTTCTACACTTCTAAACATGTAGAACAACACTAGGGTTCATCCATATTCTATAAAAGTCATATGATAAATAAAAAGTAGAGGAAATGTTATTATAAGGTTATTACCTTAATCTTCACACTTTTCCTAACTTTTCCCTTCTTAAATCTTCTTCCTTGGACTCCTAATGCTTGAGATCGAATTCTGCAGCTATGGAGGATGGTTTGAGGGTTCTACTTCTCTTTCTTGGTGGTGTGGGTCAAGCTATAGGATGGATGTGAGAAGGGATGTGTACTTTTGTCTCAAATGGGCAATAAGAGAGGGTGAGGGACACTCTTTGATATTTTAGATTCCAAATGGCTTTCCTCCACTCATCCCTTTTTCATTCCAGCCCCCATAAGTCATATTGCACACACAAAAACGTGGGGTGGCTCCCACTCATGTGGGAGGTCATCCATTTGTGTTCCAATCTGTACAATCGGTCCCGAAGGTTGTATTTCTTAGACTGTTTTTAATTATATTTTATTTTATCGGACCAAATAAAATATATCACACGTTCCTAATAATTATAGGCCTTTAGAATAGATGTACATTACCCAACATTAATTTAGGAGTCTCCGAAATTCATTTCGGGTTGTTATCCGATACAATAACAATACCGGTAATTGGGCCTCGTTTGACCAACGGGTCAATTCTATGCCCTTTCTATGGACCAACTAAAATATCCACTACCATATACATATTATCTAGATTAAGATGAATATAATATGTGGTTCTGGAATTATCGGGCGGTCCCCGTTCCTGGTGTGGGCCCCACGTGCAATTTACTATTCACGCAAAAGAAATAATAAAAAATTACAACTTCGCAAATTCATAATTCATTCTTCAAGGTTTATTACATAACTCACTAAAAAGTAAATATGCTTGGGGACGGTGTTACAAGTTCACCCCCCCCCCCCCCCAAACGGGAATTTCGTCCCCGAAATTCACAACGCTTATTCAAACAGAAATGCATACTGTTCCTTCATCAAGACCTCCGTTTCCCAAGTTTCTTCTTCAACTCGGTCACTTTTCCAAAGGATTTTCACCATTCGAACTTTCTTGCTCCTTAGCTTCTTTACTTGTCTATCGAGTATCTTTACCAGTTGTATGGCATAGTTCAAGTCTTCCCGTATTTCCACGGGTGGGTTCTCTAATACATGAGATGGGTCCGATGATATGCACTAATTAGTAGTGCATAAATGCATCTTTTTATGTTTGATTTGTGTGGATTGTTTTACCATTTTATTTAGTTTGTAAACATTTGTGTGATTTTAGTTTTAATTGTATTTTAGTTCTCATTTGTAAATTGTAAAGTAGAGTTAGGATTTATGGTGTTGGAAAGGAAGACTTTGAAGTGAAGAAAAATAATTATTGGCTGCCCAGGACAATCACCCGGTCAGGTGAGGCATTGCACCCGGTCGGGTGAGACTTGAAATGTGAAACTGCTCAGGAAATTACATCTCCCGGTCGAGTGAAGTATTTCACCCGGTCGGGTCGGATTTGACCCGAGACATTTTAACGTGCTGAAACACAAGAACGTGGAAGATTATCTGATCTTGACATGCACCCGGTGGGGTGAGTACTTGACCCGGTCGGGTACCCAGCCAAAGGTGTTGAAAGACACCTATAAATAGCACACTTTTTTTCACAAAAAATCATCCCTTCTTCCATACTCTTAAGCTCAGTTTAGAATAGCATTTCTTTATATTTTTCTAGCTATGTTTAGTCTCCAAATGAGGAGCTAAACTTCCATTTCTTGGTGTTGCTCTTGAAGCTTGTTGATTATTAAAGTTGTGAGTTATTTTCTTAACTTCTTCCCTTGAATATTAATTATTAGTTCTTTCCTTAATACTATCTCTATATTAATGTTGGGGAGTGTTGCTAAGATGACCATTAGTTAACATCTTGACATTAGTTAGAGTAGTATTTTCTTCCTCTATATTAATGTCGGGGAGTGTTGCTAAGATGACAATTAGTTAACATCTTGATATTAATTATAGTAGGATTCATCTTCTTTAATTATATTCTTCCATGAATATTAATTAATTCTTATTCATATTTCATGTTAATATTTTGAACATTACTTAAAGGATCAACTAGTTTTGTTTCATATATTAATTATTACTAGAAACGATCAACGAATCGATGGTTATTCGTTGATGGTTTCACAAGTAAGTAA